ATGACCATCAATATCGTCATCAACATCAACGCCATGATTATCATCAGCATCATCGTCGTCATCACCATCCTCATCATCATCAGCATTGTCATCATCAGCATGATCATCAACATCACCATCAGCATCAGCATCATCGTCATCATCGTCATCATCATCAGCATCATCAGCATCATCAGCATCATGATCAGCATCATCATCACCATCATCATCATCAGAAGCATCGGCATCATCATCATTAGCATCATCAGCAGAATCATCAGCATCATGATCTGCATCATCAGCAGCAGCCATCATCATCAGCATCAGCAGCATCATCATCGTTATCATCGTCGTCATCATAATCATCAGCATCATCATCATCAGCATCATCATCAGCATCATCATCATCCCTCTCATCCTCCTCCCTCTCATCCTCCTCCCTCTCCCTTCTCCTCCTCCTCCTCCTTTTCCTCCTCCGCCACCTCCGACTCCGCCTCCGCCTCCGCCTCCGCCTCCGCGTCCGCGTCCGCCTGCGCCTCCGCCTCCGCCTCCGCCTCCGCCTCCGCCTCCGCCTCCGCCTCCACCTCCGCCTCCGCCTCCTCCTCCTCCTCCTCCGCCTCCTTCGCCTCCTCATCCTCCTGCTGGTCATCTTTTTCCGCCTGCTCCTCCGTGTTCTGCTCCTTCTCCTCCCCTCCTTCGACCTCCTCATCCAAGGAACTCTCATGGCCATCGATTATGGATGGGCTGGTGGGGAGCTGGACGGCTGGGAGCGCGACCTTGGCCTTGGCGGACTCGATCACCAGGTTCACGCGCTTTTCCTGCAGGGGGGGAGGGGTGGCGACGAAATCGAGCGCGGCGCGCCCGCACTGGCCTCTTGTCGGCGGCGAGCGAAGGGGGGAAGTGCGGGCCTGCTCAGAAGGCTCGGAAAGCCCCTGGCCTTCTAAGTTTCCTGAGCCTTCCCCGAAGGTACAGAAACCTCTCAGAAGGCGCGAGGGCTTCTGAGAAGTCCCGCAGCCTTCTGAGAAGGCCTTCTCCTTCTCACTTCCTCCCCACGATCGCCCTCGATCTTGAACAACGAGGAACAGTCGCGCTGCGGATCTGCGGGATGCGGATGGACAGGCAGATGCCGTGCGCACCTACATCCAGGAGGACGGATGCGCTGTGCTTGGATGGGGTTCCGACGGACCGGGCTCAGCAGTGTGCCCACGTCGAAGCGCAGAATATGTCCTCTTCCGCCCTCTCCCACATTCGGGGGCGCGCAGACATGGATCGGGGGGAGGTGCCCTCCCCAAAATGCGGCCGGTGCCGCCTCGCTCGGCGGGGGAACTCCGCGGTTTCCCGTGGAAGAGGGGCCCGTCGCCTCCTTCCTCCCCTCCCCCTTCCCCCAAAAACTCGCACCTCTCGCGCGGGTCACCCGGAGAGCGTGGCACACCGGGTCGCCGCCCAGAGAGGCGGCAGCTCTGCCTGCGCGTGCCACGGGTGTCGCCTCCTCGCGCCGACCACGAGTGCCACGGCTTGCCTCAGGTCGGGCAGGTCCCCCTACAGGCGGACTCTGGACGAAAAATTGATTATAGTCCAGAAATGCTCGAAAATTGCCAGAAAATAAAAAAGTCAAAAAATCGTCCCCAGGCTATTTCTGGACTACTCCTGAACCTTCCTCCTGTAGAGGGACGGGCCCGACTTTAAAGCCTGCCCACGGCCGCCCGACAGGTGGCACCTGCCTTGTGCGCTGCCCACTCCCGCGGGCCGTCCAGAACGCCCCGCCTCCTGCGTGCACTCCGAGGCAGGGCTCGAGCTGAACGTTGTGCTTTCGTGCTCGTTCCGTTTTCGTGCTCCTTCGCCCCGTGCTCGCGCGGCTGCTGCTGCCGAACGAAACCGAAACGAAAACGGCTCACGAAATCGCCAAGACGCCGTTCAGATCGAGCCCTGCTCTGGGGAGCGCCATCCCTTGTTACGCAATCCGTACGGTGGGGGCGCTCGTTGAGGAACGTGCAACGGAGGCTTCAGACCCTGGGGGACTCCTGATCTGATCAGGGCGGCAACGCTGTCCATGGCACAGCCTCAATGGGCGTTCCCCTGGCTTCCAGACCCTGGACTCCTTAACCAAGGGCTCCTTATCCAATACCCCCACCGTACTTCAGAGAGGCGCGCGCCACCCGGCGCCACCGCAGCGCGCAGCTCTAGGGGTGCAGGTCCGCCGGCCCTGGCGGCACGTGCCAGGACGCCGGCCTTCCGGGACCCGCCTCCTCAGAGCTCTCGCCTCCGTCCCCTGCAGCCGCGCTGGGGATCCTCCTCTAGGGGGCCACACGCGAGCCCTACCCCTGCCCCCACCCCCCACGATTTCTGGGGGGGAGGGTGGGGTTCACTCCGCCCGGGAGCTCCCGAACGAAGTGAACCCCAACCCCCCCTCAGAACTCGTGGGGGGTAGGGGGAAGGGCTGGAGGGCTCGGTGCCCAAGCAGCTGCAGAGCGCTTCGACGGCGCCCGCAGCCTCGCTCGAGAAGGCGCGGGAGGCTTCACCCCCACCGCCCCCTGCCCCACGGCAGCCGGCGGCGGCTCCCGCGGAAGCCTCTGGGCCGCCCGCCCCCTCCTCCTCCTCCTCCTCCTCCTCCTCCTCCTCCTCCTCCTCCTCCTCCTCCTCGTCCGCAGGCACGTCAGCCCGGGGAGCATCGAGCAGCGTCGTGGTCAGTTCGGAGGGGTGCGCCTCCCCTCCGATCCCTTCCCGTCGCAGGGCACCCCAGCGCCGCGGCTCCTCCGTGGCCGGCTCCTCGGCCGCCACGACGATGCCCAGCATCTGGTCCTCGAGCAAGGGAAGGAGAAAGAGAGAGAGAGAGAGACAAAGAGAGAGAGAGAGACAGACAGACAGACAGACAGACAGACAGACAGACAGACAGACAGACAGACAGACAGACAGACAGACAGACAGACAGACAGACAGACAACAAACAGACAGACAGACAGACAGACAGACAGACAGACAGACACACAGACAGACAGACAGACAGACAGACAGACAGACAGGCAGGCAGACAGACAGACAGACAGACCCACAGACAGACAGACAGACAGACAGACAGACAGACAGACAGACAGACAGAGAGAGAGACAGACACACAGACAGACAGACAGACAGACAGACAGACAGAGAGACAGGCAGACAGACAGACAGACAGACAGACAGACAGACAGACAGACAGACAGACAGACAGACAAACAGACAGACAGACAGACAGGCAGACAGGCAGACAGGCAGACAGGCAGGCAGGCAGGCAGGCGGACAGAGAGACAGAGAAAACAGCGAGAGAGAGGAGGAGGCAGAAGGACTAAGATAAACAAGACTGGTGCAGGGAGGAAGTAGCAGGAGGGGTAACAAAGACAGAGGGGCTGAGAGGCGGTGCGTGAGAGACGGAGACAGAGAGGGAGAGAGAGGAACAACAAAAAAAAAGATGGAGAGAGATCATGGAATGTACTCCAAACAGAAGCATCGGCCCTACCCTACCCAGCCATGCTCTACTCTACGCTTCTCGACTCTGCTATGCTCGACTCTACTCTACCCTACTCTCTTCTACTCTACTCTGCCACACTCTACGCTATTCTAGTATACTCCACACTACTCTATTCGACTCCACTCTACCCTATTCTACGCCACTCTACTCTACTCTACTCAACTCTACCCTGATATTCTCCACTCTACTCTGGGCAGCCATTTTGGCTCAAGCTATCTGTTACTGAGCTGGCAACGGCGCCAGGATGCACGCCGGACTGTGTATCCCGCGCCACGGCTGCGGAGGCCAAGACTGACCAACTAGCAAGGTCCACATGGCGGCGCCGCCCCATTTCGGCGCACCCCTCACACGTTTCGTGGCCCCATAGGGAGCTACACCGAAGGCCCCAGTGGCAGGGTCCACATGGCGACGCAGCCCCATACTGGTGCACCCGTCACACGGTTCGTGGCCCCACAGGGAGCTCCACCGAAGGCCCCAGTGGCAGGGTCCACATGGCGACGCACCCCACACACGGCTCGTTGCCCCATAGGGAGTTCCACCGAAGGCCCCATTGGCAAGGTCCACATGGCGGCGCCGCCCCATTTCGGCGCACCCTTCACCCGGTTCGTGGCCGCATAGGGAGCTCTTCCGCAGATCAAAGTGGCAGGGTCTACATGGCGGCGCCGCCCCATTTGGGCGCACCCGTCACACGGCTCGTGGCCCCAAGAGAGCTCCACCGAAGGCCCCAGTGGCAGGGTCCACATGGCGGCCCTGGCCCATTTTGGCGCTCCCCTCACACCGTTCGTGGCCCCATAGGAAGCTCCACCGAAGGCCCAAGTGGCAGGGTCCACATGGCGGCGCCGCCCCATCTGAGCGCACCCCTCACACGTTTCGTGGCCCCATAGGGAGCTACACCGAAGGCCCCAGTGGCAGGGTCCACATGGCGGCGCCGCCACATGTTGGCGCACCCGTCACACGGTTCGGTTCGTGGCCCCACAGGGAGCTCCACCGAAGGCCCCAGTGGCAGAGTCCGCATGGCGGCGCACCCCGCACACAGCTCGTGGCCCCATAGGGAGTTCCACCGAAGGCCCCATTGGCAGGGTCCACATGGCGGCGCCGCCCCATTTCGGCGCACCCTTCACCCGGTTCGTGGCCCCATAGGGAGCTCTTCCGCAGGCCCCAGTGGCAGGGTCTACATGGCGGCCCTGGCCCATTTTGGCGCACCCCTCACACGGGTCGTGGCCCCATAGGGAGCTCCACCCAAAGCGGCGCCACAACACGGTATTCACAACTGCACATGGTTGGGTCTTTCGCCAGGATGATGTTTTGTTGCAAGAGTCCAGGAAGGCCCCAGAAAGGCGCGCAAGATAGCCACGAGGAGGACGCAGGTCAGCCTAAAGGGGGGATGCCTGAGAGCCCCTAAAGAGCCTGGCAAAACCATGCTGGAAATCTCTTCAGATGCGTTTGAGGGTGCTCTTGGAAGGCTCTTGGAAGTGTCTGGGGGGTGTCTGGGGAGTGGGCTTTTGGGCGCCTCTTGGAGCTTCTTGGGGGCGCCTCAGCTGCCGCACTGGGGAGCTTTGGGCGTCTTTCGGGGCGGAAGGCTCGAAGTGTCCGCTCGGATCCCCGCTCGTGCCGTTCTCTTGGGGCCTTCCCGAGGGCTTCTGGGCAATCTTGGGGGGCCCTGGCGCCATTTGCGCTCTCTTGGATCGCACGGGAGCCGTCTACAGGGAGCCCCTCGGGCTGTCTTGGTGCTGTCTTGCGGACCTTTTGGGGGCATTCTTGGAACATTGGAAGGGCAAACAAACGATAGCGCTGAAATAGGCCAGGAACCAACGGGCGGTATATGAGTTGGGCCTCCCGAGGCCCTCGTGGGGGTCCTTTTGGGGCCCTTTGGGCGTGGTGGGACCCTCGTGGGCCTACTTGAAGCGCGTTGTTGTGTTTCTTCGAGCGTTCTTGGGCTGTCTCGGGGCCCTCTTGCGTCGTCTCGAGGGCCTCTGGGGCTCATCGTGGCCGTCTTGAGACACTCTCTGGGCGCTCTCAGAGGTCTCCAAGGTGGGGAACCCAAAAACGTACAGGGGAGCACTTCGGTGGAGCCCTCGCCCCGGGATCTCCCATATAGTTGAGAGAGAGAGAGAGAGAAAGCAAAAACAAACAGAGAAGGAGAGATAGAGATACCCATAAAAACGTGAGAGAGTGAGAATGAGAGTAAGAGAGAGAGAGAGAGAAGGGAGCAGAGAGGGAGAGAAGGAGCGCGTTTCTTTCTGTTCGGCGACGACGGGCGTCATGGGGGGGGAAGGGGGCGGGCGGGGGGGGCGGGTATGTCGTAACGCCCCCCCCCCGCCGTGTGGCTCCGGCACCACAGCCGCGCCCGCGCGCACGACGCGACGAGCGACGACGATGACGACGACGACGACGACGACGACGACGACGACGACGAGAGCAGCAAGTAGGTCACGATCTGCCCCACTGCGCCTGTGCACACCACTACGCTCGCGTGCACCACGGCGCGTGTACACCACAGCGCCTGCGTACACCGCAACACCCGTGTGCAACGCAGCGCCTGTGTACACCACAGTGCTTACGTACACTACAGCGCCGGTGTACACGTGTACACCGCAGCAACCATGTGCAACACAGCGCCTGTGTACACCACAATGCTTGCGTGCACTCCAGCGCCTGTGCACGCCACAGCGCCTGTCTACTCCACAACATCCGCGTGCAACGCAGCGCTGGTGTACAACACAGTGCCTGCGTGCATAGGACAGGTAGAAGGAGCATGTATGTGAGGATCTGCTTCGGACAACTAGACGCCATGCCAGCGGACACCTACGCGGATCCCAATGCGCACGGCGGCAGTACCCGGAACGCACTGGGGGGGGGGGGGCGTTACGTCATGGGGGGGGGAGCAGGGGCCATGACGCCCGTCATGCCCCAAGCAACAGGGAGAGAGGGATAGCGAGAGATAGGGGAGCAGAGCCACCGAGAAACGGGAGACTGACGGAGGCCTGCTGTACTGCTGCTCGACTCTGTGAGAGCATTAGCGGGGGGACGGTCCTGCAGGCCATCCACGGTCGCCATGAAATTGAGGATGCCGACGGCCACGCAGATCTCGGGTGGGAAGTGAGGGTTGGGAAGCTTGGTCGTCACGTACAGCCTCAGCACGGCTTGAAACCCGAACGCGGCCGCCATCGCCGACGATCGTCAAGACCGGTAGCAGCGTTGCTCGTGGACTTCATGAAATGCTGCGTGCTTTGGGTAGCGACCTAGCGCGCGGCACGGACAGTCCCCGCGGAACCTGCCAGAAACAGCGTGCCACCAGAACCGCAGGCTGCCAAGGCGGTCGAGCGCAACAGCACAAAAACTGTGGAGCCGCTGGTGGCCGACAGAGCTGGAGCAGAGATCAGTCTCTCGGTGGGCTGCTGGACTCGCTGCCCCCATCCAAGTCCATGTCTGTGCGTTCCGCGTGTTCCTCCTCCTCATCATCATCACCACCACCACCGCCATCATCATCATCATCATCACCACCACCACCACAACCACCATCACCATCATCATCATCATCATCATCATCATCATCATCATCATCATCATCACCATCGTCATCATCATCGTCATCATCATCACCATCATCATCACCATCATGATAATCATCATCAGCTTCATCATCATCACCACACTGACCACCACCATCACCACCGCCATCACCATCACCATCACCATCACCATCATCAACACCATCATCATCAGATATGGTCAACCTTCTGATATCCCTCTTCTTCTCGCGTTGCCTCATGGCCCTCCCCATTATATCCCCCCTCTTCATATTAGTGCTGACGCGCCTACTTCTCCACCTCCTGCTCCTCCCTTGTGCCACGCGACCAGATCGGGCCTTGATCAGCAGGCTAAGGCTGCCAAGCGCAAGGCTTAAAGTCGGGCGACCACTCGATGGTCGAGTCTCCCAAGCGCACCATGGTGAGGGTGCCCTGTTTGAAGGTTGCCTTCTGCAGCACGGGGTCCAGGATGGCATCGAGCACCTCCTCGATGTTTTCCAACAGTACGGGATTTCCGAACTGGATGGCGTTCTCCAGGTCCCGGACGTAGTTCATGTTCAGACGCAGGATCTTGAGCTTGGCGCCTCGGTTATAATCCCATACCAGATTTCATCCGCGACTTTTAAGATCGAGGGTCAATACAAGCGCACAAGAGGCCTCGGGCCAATGAGCTCGTCAACGCCTCTCCCCAGGTTTTTGAAGCGTCCGAGAAATCCCAAGACGGCTCACGAGGCCCAAACAGAATGCCAAGAGATCGTCGAGCCGGCAAAGTGTAGCCCCGCGACGGTCTACGATGACTTGAAGCTGGCCGACGAGGCCCCCACGAGGGCCCACGAGCGCCCCCGAGTGGCAAAAATAGCAAAAGGGGGCCCCAACTGGCCAAAAATGCCCCATCCAACTGACAGCGTCCAGGACGGCCCGAGAGGGCCCCAAAGATCGTCCCAAGACGGCCCATGAGACAGCATGGGGCGAAGTAGACATCGTGAGATGTAGCAATGCTGGTAAAGGATGGACGTGGGAAGCATTTTCCAGAAGCAAAACCCAATTTCCAATGCGATATCGGATCGACAACTACGCTTACGATCCGGGTTTTTAGAGCGCCGGCCGCTTGAGCCACAAACAGCGGCGCAAACGCTCGATACATTTGCTTTACATACTACCCACCCCTTCTGACCTAGCTTTAAAGTCGATCGGGGGGAGAGACGAGCGCACGGAACAGTGTTACGGGGCTCGCACGCGACAGAAGCAGCGGCAACGGCAAGCCTTACCCGACTCGGCAAGATGCCAGAGTCGAGTCTGCGAAGACAAAAGTGGAAGACTGAAGCAGCGCGCGCCCACGCGCGCAACCCAAAAAAAAGTCGGCGCGGCCTCACCTAACTAAGAAAAACACCGCACTGAAGACGGAAAACAATTATCCTGGCGAAAAACCCAACCATATGCGGTTGTGAGTGCCGCAATTGTAAGTACCTTCTTCGGTGGCGCTCCCTATGGGGCCACGAACCGCATGAAGGGCATGCCGAAATATGGCGGGGTACACAACGCAAAAGGAATACGACAGGTCAGATTACGAAAGAATGAACGCGGGTGAGCCAGAACGCGAGAGAGTCTGAGTGTGAATGGGTCTGCGTGGGAGTGAGTATATTTGCATGAATGTGATTTTGGCTACGCCTAGTGTAAATGTATATGAATATGAATGGCTCGAGCATGCCTGTCCGAACACTTGTGACACTGGGCGTGGCCGCCGCAGGCAGCTTCCGCGGGAACCCCGACGGCAGCGCCCGCGCGCCGCGACGCCCATGTCGGCACGCCCCTCACGGGGATCGCACCCGCTTCCGTCCCTTTTCTTCCCCCCTCTTTGCCTGCGCGCTCCAAAAATCCAAAACTGCGGGCGCAGAGCAGCGCGGAGTCCCCGCGACGCGCGCAGGTCGCCGCGGAGGGGCCCCAGCGACGCGCGCAGGTCGTCCGCTGCGCGGAGCACAGAGAGCTAGCCGGCCGGCTGATTGCGGGCGGGCAAGGCTAACTGCACCACTGGGACCTTAGGTGCAGCTCCCTGAGGGGCCACGAAACGTGTGAGGGGTGTGCCAAAAAGGGGCGGTGGCGCCATGCGAGCTGCGCCACTTGGACCTCAGGTGGAGCTCCCTGAGGGGCCACGAAATCTGTGAGGGGTGTGCCAAAATGGGGCGGTGGCGCCATGCGAGCTGCGCCACTTGGACCGTAAATGGAGCTCCCTATGGGGCCACGAAACGTGTGAGGGGTGTGCCAAAAAGGGGCGGTGGCGCCATGCGAGCTGCGCCACGTGGACCTTAGGTGGAGCTCCCTATGGGGCCACGAAACGTGTGAGGGGTGTGCCAAAAGGAGCTCCCTGAGGGGCCACGAAACGTGTGAGGGGTGTGCCAAAATGGGGCGGTGGCGCCATGCGAGCTGCGCCACTTGGACGTAGATGGAGCTCCCTATGGGGCCACGAAACGTGTGAGGGGTGTGCCAAAATGGGGCGGTGGCGCCATGCGAGCTGCGCCACTTGGACCGTGAATGGAGCTCCCTATGGGGCCACGAAACGTGTGAGGGGTGTGCCAAAAAAGGGGCGGTGGCGCCATGCGAGCTGCGCCACGTGGACCTTAAGTGGAGCTCCCTATGGGGCCACGAAACGTGTGAGGGGTGTGCCAAAAGGAGCTCCCTGAGGGGCCACGAAATCTGTGAGGGGTGTGCCAAAATGGGGCGGTGGCGCCATGCGAGCTGCGCCACTTGGACCGTAGATGGAGCTCCCTATGGGGCCACGAAACGTGTGAGGGGTGTGCCAAAATGGGGCGGTGGCGCCATGCGAGCTGCGCCACTTGGACCTTAGGTGGAGCTCCCTGTGGGGCCACGAAACGTGTGAGGGGTGTGCCAAAAAGATGATGATGATAATGATGATGATGACGATGATGATGATGACGATGAGGATGATAGGAGGGGAGAGGAGGCGGAGGAGGAGAGGAGGAAGGAGACGCGGGGCACCGTCTCTTCAAAACGAGGACCCAACACCACAGGATGGTTGGGAAAAATGGTAAAAGACCGTTCGCTCACTTCGGCGTGAACCCACGCGAATATTGCAGGTTCCGCCAAACCGTGGGAGCCAGGCCCAGTCTTTGATATCCGGGCCCTATCGAGAGCGTGCGTCTGCAGCTCATGCTGTAAGGATCGCGCACCCGCAATTACTTGTAGCACTAATTCGCGTTCTAAACTGCGCTTGGAACGTCCGTCGGCAGCCATATCCCGCGCATCGCACCGCTGAAAACTGAGTGCGACACCCCTATCCATCATCATCTGCCTTATCCAGCTAACGCGACCCACAAGCGCGCACCCTGCAGGCTTCTTGAAATATTTGCCAGATGGGGACTTGAACGCGGACTGGGCGTCGATAGTAGGAGCAACCTTAGTACATGGACCACCAATGTCCATGACATGTTTGAGTTGTCTTGGCGTTGATGGTCCCGCTTTGAGTTCGTGCAGTGCAATGACGGTCGGAAAGCAGTCTGCTGAGTTGCGTGCCGCTGCTAGCGCTCCCGCGAAAAGGCTCGACCTAACCTGCAGTCAGTGCGACTTGCAGATGCAGGACAGGGTTGCCATCTCGCACGATCCCACGCCTGAGAAGGTTGGCAGCCCGGATGCCGTCACCTCCTGTCTCGTCCTCGGCGCCCCCGGTTAACCTTCGGTAGCCCGAGTCGCTGCGCAAGTCGGGTTCTCCGGTGGGTTGCATGGCAGAGCGTGTAATCGCCTCGGGTTCTGCCCGGAGTTTACGCGCGATCGCGTTCAGCCGTCGCACCTGTAAGTTCATCGGTTCCTGCACCCGCTGCACAGAGACGACGTAGACCATCGACCAGGCTGAGGCAATGAGGGCATACGCAAGCTCGCGGCACGCGAGGGCAGTCTTGGCCATATCAGCATGAAGCAAAGTTATATGCATTGGCCGTTATTGTCTCTGTCGATCGCATTGGCACCATCGCAGCGCGGAGAAATTGGCGCGCAAGACACGTCCTCATTGTGGTAATGCGAGTATCCGCGATGTCGGGTGCCTGGGTCGTCGCTGGCGACTGTGATCGTGATGATCACGGTCGTCGGCGCGGCGCGCAGCGCTTCTAAGGGCTGCAATCTCGCGAAGCCCACGCTGGCCGCACAATTCGGCGCGCCAAGCTTTACAGGCACTAGCCTCTAAGTCGGCCTCAGATCCTTCCTGGAACGCGGCTGGGCGCCCCGATGGTGGAACGGGCTCTTCAGTAGGCGCCTCCGCCGTTTGAGCGTCTCCGCCAAGACCGGGGCCGCCCGCGTTCTCCTCAAACTTCGAGAGGTCCTCGTCGCCGACAGCCATGGGCTTGGATAACTTCAGACACGGCATCACCCTCGCACGCGAAGACTCAGCGGTCGCGTGGATGTCGAGGGCGGCGCCGTTCGACTCAGTAGTGGAACCCTGGTGCCACACCGCTGCCGCAGTGGACTGGAATACAGCTGTCGGCATAGGTGACAGTTGGCAGTCGGCGAATGCCCGTAGCGAGCCTGACTGTGACCACGTTCTCGATCCTGGAACAGTTCCCGATCAGGCCTTGGAATGCCAGGTACACCTCCGGTGAGAGCTTGCTGGAAGCGGTCATTCGCAAGTCCCCTTGCTTGGTCGGTAGGTATCCGAAGGTCATTGCAGCCCCCCCGGAGGGCAGACTCGCGACGAAAGCAAGCACAGCGCGAATCGCTGCGTTGTCAGAACCAAGCTCTCGGAACCATCAACACTTCGATGTACAAGGTGTGGTGGAAACGCAGATACTGAACGGCTACTTCACGATGGCCGACCCCTAGGATAGCTTGGCACTGTCCGGGGCCATTGCGCGCGACTGGGTAGGGGCCGCTCCAATCCCCCAATCTGTCGTTGTGGACGGTCGGCGGCAATCTACCAGATCGACATCGCGGTAGAGCGCTTGGCAGAGTAGCGTCGTCTTTGCGCGCAGTGCCCTGTTCGTTTTGGCAAGTGCGATAGCTCGAATGATGGCTTCCAAGCTGATCTCGCGCATCCGCTGCTCTCGCGCGCGGCCACTCCGTCTCTTGGTCGTGGTCGAGTGTCGACAGATCCGGCGGGCATGCCGGCCGTCGGCCATTAAGCCTGATACGGAGACACGCCATTGTAGGAGTTTGCCACGAACATGGCCCCACGCAGCAGACGAGGGAAGTTTAGTGTTATGTTGTGTTGCTTGAGGTTTTACTCCATCGTGTGCACGGTGTGTCTGAGGATCCCGCTGCTCGACTCCATGGTCGGGGCATGCTGGCGGCGCGCTCAGATCCGCAACTCGGTGCCTGTGTGTTTGAGAATGTTTTTGGGTGCGTCGCTATTTAGGGTACCCTCACCATCCGAGTACATGACCTTGGCTGGGCCATGCTGCAACCAAGTACGGCAGTAGGCGTCGAGTGCCGAATTCATGGTTTTGCCCAGCATGTCCTGGCCAGCTGCAAACCCGATGCAACGTTCTTTTGATACGGAAGACGATGCACTTTAGAATTGCCCGGCTTGCCCCACGCGCGACACTCTGTCTCTCTCTCTCTCTCTCTCTTTCTCTCTCTCTCT